GGAATCAGCTCAATAGAACTTAACAACAACAACGGGTGGTGGTAGGGGTAAAAGGAGTCCCTGAGTGGTACAAATGCTTAATGCATTTGGCTAATAACTAAAAGCTTGGATGTTCTAATCTACTCTGAGATACCTGGGAAGAAAGACCTACCATAATCTACTTCTGAAATGTTGAGTGCTGTCAAATTGCTTGCGACTTATAGTGACTCTGTGTAGAGTTTCCAAGGAGCAAACGGTGGGTTTGAATCACTGACCTTAAGGTTCGCTGTCCAGTGCTGATACTACAACACCACACTAGGAGTCCTATGGTGCATAGTTCTACTCTCATCCACATGTGGCTGCCATGAGTCTGAATGACTCAAAAGTGACTGATTTTAGGGGGTTAAAACAAGGAGGGATGGAGCCCAAAGCTCTAGGAGAAGAAGTGCCCATAGCATAGCTCAGTGTCTCTCAACAGGAAAGTGTTACAAGCATGCTAACAGGTTGGGATATTCAGGACTGAACTGTAGTTGTGGGGTGGTGGGTACATACAATGCATTTTGCTTCTATTCTCTGCTCTCTGCTCCTTGGCTTTAATAGCCCATCATGGTGGGTCTGTTGACTCCACTTTTTTTCTTGAGGAAATTGAATTTCAGAAAGTTTTCATAATTATTCCAGAGTCCCAGAGCCAGGAGATGAAAAATTGGGATTCCAGGAACTCCAAAGCCACTGTTTCACCAACTGATCATTTAACTAGAGATTGTGCATTGAGGGGGAAACCGTATTCCATTGGGGATGGACTCCTGTGTGGCTAGAAATACAGTATAGATAAAAATGGTGGAATTGTAGAAAGGTTCTTAGACCAGTGCTTCTCAAACTTGAATGTGCACACTAATCGCTCAGCAATGTTGCTGAAACACAGGTTCTGAGTCACTGAGTCTAGCTGCAGCCTGAGCGTCTGCATTTGTAATGAGCTCCCCCCATTGATGCTGATGTTGCTGGTTGTGGACCACACCTTGGGTGTCAAAGATGCAATGTGGCCTCTCTTTTCACTGTCACTCCCTGTGCATGTGATCACAGATGTGCCTTCTCTATCTCCCACTAAAGTGCAAACCCCCAAAGAGCTTTATCCTTCTACTTCCTAGCATGACTTAGGCTAGCTTGAGTGGGATCTTGTGGGTATTCTGAGTTCAGGGGTCAGAGATAAAGGTCAAGGTCACTGCAGAATTAGGATGTTTCCCAGTCATGAGATGGCAATAGTGCCCAGGGCTAGAACTCTTATTTCTTAGCAACGGGGGTCCAGGTTCTGTTAGTTGGCGGTTACATGGGGGTGTAGAAATCACATGAGCAACAGGAGCTAGGCAGATGTGACAAAGCTTTCCCATCTTCCACCAAGTACAAAATAGCCCAAGAAATACCCTGAGCCCTCACCCCGGGGTTCTCTGCTGATTGGCATGTCCTTGTCCTCGGCAGTCAGTAAGCATCAGGGTGACCTTTTAAGGATATAAATCTGATTCCTTCACCCTTTTTATTTAAAGTCCTCCTAGGGCTTTGCATTTCTCTCAAGATGAAACTTGTACTCCTTACCATGGCTTTGAGTCCTGCGTAGTCTGACCTTGCTCAACGCTGCCCTCATGACCCCTTCATGATCCTCCATGTTCACTAGGCTTTCTGCTTTTCACACATGCAAACACATGCCAACCTCAGGGCCTTTGCACTGGTTTCTTTTTGTTATAAGTGCCTTTACTACTTTACCTTTGAAGACTCTGGCCACAGGCAAAGTTTAAACAGCAAAGTGACTCTGAAATTTGTA